ATAGAAATTATTTACATTTTATTTTTTTTCTTGTTTCAAACTTCTTCAGCTTTTTTTAGCATATTCTTTTTCAGAATAATCTTGTGGAAGAGGATCCGGCGATTATTGATCATATCAGGCTGCTCGTGAAAAAGTTACCACCGCGAAATGTCGACGCTCTGAAGTTTTTGCTACTTCATTTGAATCGAGTCACTTGGTAAGTTTTTAATTCCTACAATCTGCTGGGGAGAGGGGGGGGGGGGATCCACTGTCTCCCATTCTCGCTCCAAAACTAGTCCAGCTCTTTCCTTTTTTGCTTCACAATGTTACTTTGATAATCTGAAAACGGCTGGAGACTACAGTATTTCACTGAAGAAGTGATTAAATGTGTTGACACCTTCTATGGATCGTCCCGTAGATTGTTGAGTTCTCTGGAATCAAAGGAGCATTCCACATGTTACCACCAGAGGCAGTCTATGGCCGCATGAAGCTTTCAGGAAGATTTTTATCAAAAATTCAGGTTTGAAATGGATAATCTGATGACAGCTTCAAATCTGGGAGCTGTGATATCGCCATCGATGATCTGGAAACATCCATCTTGTACCAGTAACAGTAACTCGTATCTTTCTCACGCTCATCAAATGAGCAAAGCTGTCGAACTGCTTATCAAACATGCATTTGTTAGTTGTCTTGACTGTTGTTGATAAAGATAGTATCAGTAATGACGATTAGAAAATTCTGGGAATTTTGGATTTTGCAATCTATAATTAAGCCTAGGAACTTTGAAAAATTAGTTTGAGATGTAAATAATGTTAGTTTTGAAGTGTCTCCCGTTTCATCAAGATTATTTAGACTAGCGATAGAAAGGGTATAAAAGGGACACTTTTGGAAAAATGAATGGTGCCTAATAATGGGCATCAATACTTCCTTATTTTATCAATCAGTAATAATAATAGCAATAATAATAACAATAATAATAACAATAATAACAACAACAATGATAACGATAGTAATAATGATGATGATGGTAGTGACGATAACAATAACAGAAATGGTAATAATAATAAGCTAATAATACAAGTGCTAAAAAAATAATCACATTGCTTCAAAGAAACTTTTATTTTTTTGATCCCCTTAGTTGCGCAGCCAAATAAAACTTACAACTGCGAAACACTCATACCAAGCAAAAATTTAAACTATTTTTAAAAAATTATCTCTTAAATGAGCGAAATTTGCTTTTCGTAAAAGCTAATTTCAATTAATGAAGATGGGTTTTGCTGGAAACCAGTTCATTCCTAACAGCATTGTTTCAGGAAGTATTTGACGTAGACATCTCGGAAGATCGACGAGC